GACCCAGCAAGATTGTCTGACCACAGGAGTCACAAGGAGCTCCTAGTACCTATTTAGGTTTCTGTTAAAGGTAAAGGCTGATAAAAGACAGTACCTGTTGGGACTGATAGTTCTGGATGACTTGTACAAAACAGGATCACAATTTGCTCTGAAGATCCAGACAAGTCAGGACTGTCTCTGTTTTACTGGATCATCCAGCAGTTTTGGTCAGGAAGAATGAGACCCCATGCTTATTAGACTACCTACGGGCTTAGTTTGTATACTTTCAAGCAAGCCGGAAAACTAACCAGCTCTACACAGATCTGTCACTGAACAGTTTCCAGATGAAGCTGTGGGCATTTACAGGATGAACTACATGTAATTGATAGTTACAACCTTCATGAAAAGAATAGTGGGCTTGAACACTCAAAACAAAGAGCAGTGGGGAGATCTTGCATTTTAATCATCTGCCATTACTTGTTCTTTCTTGTCTTCAAAACACAGTCATGTACAAGTTAAACTACAGGCCCAGTTCATCTCACCTTTCATTCTTCCTTGCTCACGACAATGTTGAGTTCATGTTGAGCTCTGCATCCCAACAAGCTAACATTTCCAGTGAAGCCACCTCAGGTTCTGTTCAAGGGAATCTACAGAGATTAGGGTGAGGCCAAAGGGAACTTTACCATGTTAGTGCATTTCGTGTTTTAGTATTTTATCTTTCATCTATCAGATGGGGAGGAGGGAAAAGCAGATACTCCTTCAGTCTCAGAAACTTCTTCATATAGCTTCGCACTTTATTATCACACGGTGCATTGGCAGCGGAGTAGTGCACTCTGCTTTAACCCACTAGAGGCGTGCATCAGAATTTCTTGGTATCATGTTTTTCAGGTTGCAGCATCTTCATGTCAGTGATCATGCTGCCAACATTTGCAGAATATCCAACATGATAGATTTCAAGCAAGAGTTCTTGAGGTGGTATTTTAAATAGTTGCATGTTAATTCTGCACTACATTAGTGATCCTTAAATAATTGGGAAGACTTATGGAAACTGTTGCATGCAACCAACTAAAATTTAGAGTCAAACTATGAATCAAAGTTTCCTACTTGCAACTTGGAATATTGTACGATGTACGTAAACATGCTGTGTATTTTGTAGTGAAGCATCAACACAATGCAGCATTAGAGTATTTTTTCATAAATATGTTCCATAACAGAGACCAGTAATAAAATCAAGATGTTTCTTTCATGTTAATGAAACATGGCTGATTATAAAGTTTTAAGTACATGCCAGAATTTACAGTTAAAAAAAAAAAAAAAAGTAATCTAAGTAGTTTAGAGGATCTGTTACTGTCCAATTAAGGATTTTCCAAGTGGAAAGTAAAATGCCTTTGGTTGTACTGTTTTGTTATTTCCAGATGTCTAATACACTGAACCCTGCACTGCCACGTCAGTAGTACTCAGGCTATGGAAATCATGGTGTCATTTATTTATATTACTGTAGCATCATAAACTGGGTCAAATAATTTGAATTCACCAAACTGAGATTTACAAATTGAAGACATACTCTTGGAAAAAGAAAACAAAAGAAAGAAAAGCAGTTTCATAACATCAGAGATTACATGTCCTTTAAAGACAGTTTCTCATAGTCTGGAGTATCATTCCTGGAATAGATATTAAGTGTAGTTTAACCAAGCTACTTTTTATTTGGAACACTCAATCAGTTTCTCTTAATATGCTACACCCTACATGTTCCTTTTTATTTAGTTGAAACAAGACTATTTGGGCAATAACTGGCTGATTACTAGTCCTAAATATATGGCCACAAAACTTTTATGTATGGTGATTGGGAACCATCAGCTGTAAATGTGGAACACAGGCCCCTGGAATCAGTTTAAAGTCCTTGTAAATTTTCTGTGTTTAACTAAAAAATTATTTGTTTTCACAGTTGTTTTATTCTTAGAAAGGAAATGGAACGAGCCTTTGAAGACAGTAGCCATCTATCACATGGAAAATGTTCTGTTGTCATTGCTGCATTTCAGATTTGCACCAGGCAAGCTACCAAGTAATCTCTAGCACTCTGCTTTTCTAAGCATATGATAAATTTTAAAACAAAACCAGACTACACCAATGCTCATATTTCAGCACACTCAAATGATGATAGGCTTTGAGATTCCCATACTCAAGAGCTTGTCATAGAAACCTTATTCAGATCCTCTCAGCTGCTAGACTCCATGAAAGGAAATAAAATCATTAAATGATATTAATTATTATCTAATTACTTGTTTTGGTGCCACAGAAGCACTAGTTGTGATCATGACTAGTAGATAATATGGCAAATACAAGAGAAATTCATATCAATCTCTCTTTTCGTATATGGTTTCTAATCCAAAAAAGGAATAAAGCATTGTCCATCTTTTGCTTAAGAACACGATATTGAAAAATCATACCTGAATTATTTAAAGCAGTGAAGACCTGACAAGTATTTGCAATTTAGACTTCATCCTGTTTGCAGTTTACATTGCAGAGCCAGCTCTCACAGCACAACGTCAAGCCTGGGGCAAACGGAATTCATTTTATCTACAAAGGGAAGGAACTCTAAGCCACAGAGAACACAGTGTTTACCTGCGACCTTGCTAGTAGGGCAGTACTTACTGGTATTAAAGCATATGTATTGAGTTCAAAGCAGTCTCTGCAAATAGTCTTGGAAATGTTTTTATCTTCCAAGTAACAGTGATTTTTGGAAATGTTTTTATCTTCCAAGGAACAAGTTTTTATCTTCCATGTCCCCCCAGTACTGATACTGAGAATTCAATTCATTTTTTGTACAGGTTTACAATTTCACTTGACTTTAAGATCCAGTATCTATTTGAAAGAATGATCCTTCAAGCTTTAGTTATCTTTTCAGGCCCAACTCCTCTCTGATTTGTTACGGCCAGCTAATCTAACCAATGCTGACAAAGGAGAAATTAAACCTGGTAATTAAATGTGGTAATATCTGCCAGTACAGATGTACAGTCTTCATTTTCCACCTTCATTTCTAAGCAGGGATTCTAATAAAGCTAACAGGAGCCTCAAGGTGTCAGCAGACTCTAGCTCTGCACTCAGCATCCAGATTCCCTACTTGGACTCTTCCTTTCTGCTCACAGGCTCGGACCTGGTTGTCAGAGCAGAGGTCCCACTGTCAAAGTTTAAGGCTTTCATCAAGCCATTAAATTTCCGTGAAATAGTGCCACTGGCATTCTCCAGTAGGATTGTTGTACTGCAGCCTGGGCACTCTTTCTGACATGAGAGCCCTAATAGAGTGACTACATCCAACCTTGCAGCCAGAATTAATACTCTTTGAACAATCACATAGTGCTCTAATGCTTGTTAAGCTTAGTGCAGAAGCTTTTTCATTTTAGTATTACCTTTATACGTCTGCTGGGTCCATGTTGCTGTTAGAAAGGGACTGTGTGCCTAATAAGCCTGGAGTGAGAGAGGGGCTAAAGAGGGTGGTCATACTATCTCTCCACCTCTAATTCCAGAGACTACAGGGTCTGACAACAAAATCCCCCCATGCTGAGAATTCAGTCTCCCCAAAGAGTGTGAGCTCCCCCTTCCTCCCAATCCCTCTACAGGGCCCATGACAGCTCTGTAGCAGAGAGAAACCTTCTGCTTTTAGCAACTTTTCACCTCCAGTTGTTAAGGTCTAGTCAAGCGTAGAAGAAAAGAGGAAATTTTTCTCTCCCTTAGTCTTCTAACAGTATACATACTCTATCACAAGCTTCCTTTCCTCCAATAGCTACGTATATCTTTGGAAAGAAATTCTGAAACGTGGTGGTTCTGAACCGATGATGGTTTCTGCTCACTGTATTAATGTTTGGTCAAAGTGCGAGACAGCAGAGGAAACCCATAGAGTTTTTAACTGATTTCATTCCACATGTTACTACAGAGCTGATCTACTGAAACTGAAGCAGAGATGAGAAATACCACGCTTAGTTGCTACGGAATAGATGCTAGGTTCCAGAAACACTGCTGTACTGACAATATTCACATTTTTATTGATGTTACTCTATTTTTACTGACAGAAATTCAAACAATTCACACTACTTAATTTAAAATGTACTTATACAACTCAAATCGGTTTTGTTCATTACCACATGATCGTTCACAAAGTGAATGCCAATAAGAATGAAAAACATAAGATCAGGCCCATATATCCAAAAATTAAAACTCCAAAGGTTATAGGAAATGTTATACATTTTCTTTGGAAAAAAGTGTTCATTTGCAGTGAATTGTGAAATAGACAATGGTAGAGAAAAAATCTGATTATGAAACACATTGACTGTGAAAATTAAATACAAAACAGTCCGTAGTTCTTGCATGTCAGTATCTACCTCACTTGTATAAAAATCAGGCCCTGAGAGTGTACAGAACCTTACATATGTGTTGAAATAAGTCAGTGTTATCTTGCCTGATAAGGACTACAGAAGAAGAGGTGATTCTGAAAAATTAACCTAAGGTGTAAAAAGGTATTTTTCCAAAATACAATGATGGAAATGGCAGGTATATGGCTTTTTAAAAGAAAATTTGCTGAAATTTCTTGGCAATTCAGATATGCAGAGAGCATAGAAAAAACACATTCAAAAGTCGGCATTACACTCCTTTTTATAATTTTTCCACTGGGTTTGAGATTGCATAAGAGGGAGTTGAATAAAAGCTGACAAACATTAACCTTCATCCGTTTACTGAAAACCCTGTTCTTTTAGTGGTGGACTTGGCAGCGCAATGGTTGGACTTGATGATCTTAAAGGTCTTTTCCAACCTAATCAACTCTATGATTCTGTCATTCTTAGGACCTTCTTACTCAAGCGAGAACACTACAAATGCTGACATTTCATAATAAAAATGAGTAACTGTATTATGGAAATATCTAATAAAGTTTTAAGGCTGAACTGTTCAAGTGGAAATGAAAGGTATTTATGATGCAGTGATACATTATCCCATATAATTGCCAGAAGAGATATATCTATTTTCATAGGTTAATGGAAATATGGATTATAGGTTCTCCGAATTTTCATTGAAACTGATTTAATTTTGACTGGTTTCTTGTTCATTGTCCATGTATCCCAGTGAATCCCAGTTGCAAGAAATCTTCCTGTGTAGCGGTGAACACCATTAAGATTTGCAAGGCCACACTGGTTGAACCACCATCCAGTGTTATCACTGAAGTTACTGCAGCTCTTTACAGCCTGTTCTTTAATAGTGCACATTGGCCTGCATCCATCATTATCAACATCAAATGTGCTGAAAGGCATTGAATTCTGGTTATCTTGTTTTGTATATCCTCTAAATGCATCACCTAAGTACAACAGAAGGATAAAAGAGTTATTTATGGAGCAATGTAACATTTCTTACTTGTTGCATACCTCACAAACTTTTCCTCTGTATTTATTAGAAAAATAGATTTTTTCAAAAGCAGTTCAAGAGCACCAAATAACGAGCTGGCAATGTGTTAAAGACATAGGAAAGAAACAGTATAAAATACTGAGAAGTATGGAAGAAGTTGAAATTCGATGAAACATCTTTCTATTGTTGTTGCTTTTAGTGACGCACACTAGCTATGAAGGTAAAGGCTTCTGTCCTGAAAGACAGTGGAAGAAAAGATAATAGAAACAAAAAGCGTTAACTTCAGATTTTCCAGTGATGTGCCCAAAGCCCCAGAGTGAGTCATGAGATTAAATGGAATTGTCAAAATACAAAGGTCAGTGATTACTGGTTTTATTGTCTTACTAAAGAAATAATGTTTCTTACAAATACAGGTAAAACACCAACATATTTAGAGAATAACTGTTACATTGGTAATAAGGAACATTCTTGCTTATTAGTAAACATGAGGCAAAAAAAAATTAGAAAAAAAGCAGCAAGACATGGTGCAATACTTAACACAAATCTTTGCATATTTGGTATAGCTATGATATTAAGAGAGGTCTGGAATTGTAAATTAATGTGTGTCTATATATCAGCCAGTAACTGTTACATACTGTAGGCCTAATTTGTTCCAGTCGGTTTCTTTCTCTGTCCTTTGTACGCCATTGTCTGGGCACTTCTGAACTAAACAAAGCAACAACATCAGGAAGACTTCCACTAACATCAGCAAATTTGGGATGAGATAATAGACACTTAAAGAATTGGACACCTAAAGAATAGATATACACAAGCACACACAAAATCCCTTTTGTATTATATATATATATTCTGTAGACTTGAATCCATTAAAGTTCCTTTATTTTCTTTATTCATTTTCTTTATTAAAGGAGTGCTTGTTCAATTATTCCATTAAAGACCTTGAAGCAATAGAATAAAATGATTTCTTACTATGTAAAGATTGATGTTGGCATAACCAATCACTACATCATTAACCATTTAGCAGCATAAGTGTTCATTATGCACCAAATAGAGAAAAACAGATTAGAAATAAACATTTTAAAGTTATCTTAATTAAGTATTACTCTTTTGAATGCATTTTTTCACATTAAGAAAGGGAGCAGCAATCTTTAAATACTTTAAAGAAGGAGGTTCTTACCAGCATTTCCTGAATAACGCCCCAAATGGATCTTAAAAGAACAAGCTTCATCCTCTATCCAAAATCCATCATATGATGCATAGGCATGCTTGTCATTTTCTGATTCCAAATCCACATAAAGACTAAAAGTAGCGGCTTTTTGATTTACTATGTGAAAAATCTTCCTCAGTCCAAGCCAAAATTCCCCTGAAACAGAAATATATAGTTAATAAACTTCTAGAAACAGAAAGTAGAAAAGAAGAAATTGATTCCTCTAGTTTTTGTATTTTCCTTCCTGAGCCAAGTGTAATAAGAGTTGTCTGATGTCTTTGAAAGACTAATGAAGGTACAGAGTAATCTTCCTACTTCATTGGGAAATCCATGGGAAGAATTCCCATGTGCGCATCATCTTTTTTCTTTGTGACATTTTTAGAAAATTGTCCACGTGATAACTTTCAAGCGTTCATCTTCAATATACCTTAGAAGACCACAAAAACTGGATGTGCTAAGGATCCACTTGATTAAACAGAATTCAGCAGCATTCCTAAGGGCAATACTGAGAAATGATAAATGTTAGCATTCTATGAAATGCAACAAAACTCAAACCCTGTTCTCAAGATTTGCTGCCTCTGTAAATCACACTTTTTTCCATGAAAGGTTGCCCTATTTGAGCTGCGCTTTCTTGTATAGTTGAAAAGTTGTGTGCTTCCATTGGAATCCCAGATAAACTCCTGAAAAAGCAACTGGTTTTAGACTTGCTGGATGAAAGGTGGCAGTAAAAAAGTAATATCACAGTTGTGTTTGTATTAGCTACTGGAATAATTCCATTGCGTTTCTAACTTTGCATGCCCTATGGTGAAATAGTCCTGATTTTTCTCTGCTTTAAGGAAATATTTCGCAAATGTGATTAAAACCAACTTATGGCTTTTTTTTTTAAATCTGAAAAAAAAAGGGAAATACAATTTATACATTATTTCAGGAAGAAAATATCACAACATTTTAAACACCTCTTGTGAGACTGAGGATGGACAATGGCTAAAGACTAGTAGGGTGACAGTCATTGTTGAGAAGATCACACAATAGATTTGATGAAAAAAAACTCTTAAGTGTAAATAAGACTTTTAAGAAACATGAACTTTACTCTCTCTACTACTAAAAATCCCACAGAATTTAGTGGAATGTAGCTCACATAAAGACAGCAGAAACATTGGATCCAAAGCACTTTAAAGGATTTAAAATTAATACCAGAAAGGTCACCGAATCCATCCACATATTCAGACCATGTTCTCTGAAATGGAATGATTCCGTCAGTTCTTTTCTGAACCACAGTCCATCCACCTCCTTGAAAATCCATGTCACACAAAACCTAAAATAGACATAGATATGATTAAGCATTCTTGAAGCAGCTGTTATGAAGAAAACATTTTAATTAAATAAAGGTGGACTATTCAGAGTTTTGCTAAGCAACATACCTTTCAAATATCTTAACAAAAAGCTCAAAGAAAATAACAAATGAAGCTGCAGTATTTTCTTATATGTTCTTGTTGGACTGCTTGATTTGGATATTTCCTCAACCAGCAGAAACTTTTGTGTGCAAATGTCTGCTCATATCAAAGATAATAAATAAGCTTTGATAAATTAATAGTAGCATGAAGTGGAAGCCACATGCAATGTCATGTATTAATCATGCAAAATATTACATATACAGGCACTAACACTGAATATACCTTTATTTCAGTAAAGCAAAATAGACACAACTTCTTATGTGTTCTCCCTCACCATCATACCTTCTTCCCCAGAAATACTGTGTTTGTGATGCCTGGGAAATGTAGAGCCCTTAATAAAGGTGAGGAAATGCAAAAAGTGACAGCAATAACCCAGTATATAATAATATATGCTGGAACAGCAAAAACACCTACATAAGAATGGGCCCCAATCCAGGGAAGTCCTAATGTGAACATTTAACAGCCTGCAACTGAGCAGTCACACTGAATACATTAAGATCAGCTCTCAAATTTATGAGTCTTCATGAGTCTTTGCTAAAATTTGTGCCCAACAGCACGTCAAATGGCAGTGGTCCAGCAGCCCTCTGCTCTGCTATGGAATATCACATTATGTGGCACATTTTCTCCTCAGCCCATTTGACTTTAGACACGTAATTGAGTTCCCTAAATTAGGCATCTTATTCCCCTTGTCTCACTTGTAATCCCCCTCATACAGAGAAATGTGCATTCATAGTGTGGCTCTGGGAAACCAAGATCTAAATCACCCTCTGCAGATGTCAGTCACCTCCACTGTCCACAGAAGGGGCCCCTAGACCTTTGGCTGCTCTCTAGGGATTTCAGCGAAGTGCCTAAAGTTAAGTGGAATGTATCCAGGTCACTCTGGGTATTTTTCAAGTATGTCCCCAGTGCCAGAGCTTGACCAGTTCTAACAGGAATTAGAAAGTCTGGGCATCCTAAAGTAGAAAGGTACATATTGCATATCTAGACACTGCACCGCTGCTGTTCAAAGTAGTTCTAGGGGATACTATGCTTAATTAATGTTTAAAAAACAGGGTCATTTGTAAGTGTCTCCCAATGTGACTAATATCAGGAGAATTAACCTGGAAAATGGTTATCACTATGGAGACATTAAGCTACTTGTGATAACAAAAGTTCAGAATATAATGTTGGCTATCAGTAAATCACAACAGTAAGCAAATACACAAGTGATGGAGGAAAGTAGGAATTTTTTGTTCATGTTACAGGGAATGTACACAATGAAACATGTTTCAGAAAAGAGAGATTTGCAATCTTAGCCAGTTGCTAAAAGTAGAGTCTAGGTGGAAGTGAGTTTAACCCTCAAAAAAATTGTGGCAGCCTGAGCTTTATATGTTGCATCCCTGTTGCCTGTACCAGCCAGGTATTTTTCATGAAACCAAAGACTTGTTCCTTAGCAGGAACACGTCAACATCATATTCAGAACCTCTGTGACTTAACATCTTCTCTAGGAACAACAAGAAAGCAACAGGACAGAGCGGCAATGTGATCTAATACAACCTGGCCAATCTTGGATCTTCAAGTAAGTCAATGCCATTGGATGCTTAGAGCACTCCTTCCAACACAAATACCGAGTGAATCACAGTAAGTGTCATGTGCATGAAAGAAAATAATGGGCTTTATTCCCTGGAGAATCACATGCTTATTTCAGTCACCCAAGGAGGGTGGAAGTGGAATAAAACGAAATACGTAAGATTCCAAAATGAATATTTATATGCAAATACCTAAAACTCATTAAAAATAATCCCATTGCCTCATCCGCTGTCTTGAGAAGATGATTGCATGCTTGGCTAATCCTCTCCCTATGAGTCAGAAATACAAAGAGGAGCCCACTTGGTCACAACATCAATCTTCAGTCCAATATAAATCAGTGGGAGTGTTGATAATTCTCAGAAGGAGCAGATTTGGTTCTACATGAAAGGTCATCAGCCAATTAGATATGGCACCAAAACATACACCAGCTAAGTAAAAATATGAGATAGATACACAAAAAACAGTCATTGCTATGTAGTTTCGTAATTCTTTATACGCTGGAAATGATGCAATTTTCTTTCTTAAAGCCTTATAGTAGTTAATCCACTTTACAGCTTGTTCTATGTCTCATATCATGCAAGGTATGAGGGGCATGACTGTGCCAGGTACAATTTAAATTAAATGAGCAGGAGGATGCTTCTACTGACTATTTCTTCCCTTTCCATCTTTAGTATGTATAAGAGGTATATTCCAAACAACTGTTTAGTTTGTCTGACCCACCATTGATCTAAATTTACTCATTGAAACATTAATCAGAAAGTGATCATGATTCAATTTTCCAGAAGTGAAATTGGTTTTAATTGCCTCATGTTTGAATGCTCAGACAAAAGCCCATTTGGGACTAATTATCTGAGATAACAAGGACCTGCCACCACCATTGAAACTGGATATTCTTAGAGCTCCTGGAATTCAGGTTTCAATTACCCTGAGTTAAGCATCAAAATCTATACTCACTTTTGAAAACATGAGGTTTCAAACATGAAAACATGACAACAGGATCAAGTTGTCTAACTAGTTTTCTTCATTTCTCTAGTATCCTTATGCAAATGATTCTAAAGACATTTTGGTCTAGTTTCAGTTACATTTAAAGGGCAACTTATTGCTGAAAAGGTCCTCATTGGAATAAATTGTTTCATGCTGGCTTTGTTTTCTGTTTTTTAGTTTCTTACTATGGTTTTCTGCCTCTTCGTATTTTTCTTATTTTGCTAGTCTGCAGAACTTCCAGAACTAGTGGCTATTAGCCCCTTAAACTGCATTACAATTTCTTGTTTATGTTTTAATGTCTTGATATTTTTGTTCATCTATCATTTCTCTTGTACCCTTTTTATGCTTCAACACATGGAATAATTTGCATTAAACAGTCTTCCTTTAAAATAACATTCTTTACGAAACACACATATTTTAGATATTTTTCCCTGAGAACTTTTTGGCATTATCTTTTCAGTTCTGTGTAACATCTACCAGACAAGAAATGAGACACTCATTTCATGAGTGCAGACGTTTCTTCTCATTATTTATTGTTACCTTGTGCTTTTAATCAAATTATTATGATTTTTCCTTTTGTTTCTTGTTCATTTAAGGAACCTTTCCACTTATATAACTGATTCTCAGATTCTGGCAGTAACTTTAAATGTGGAAAAGTGTCAAAAATACTTTTGAAGTGAAAGGAACTTTATCATTTCAGATTTATTTGCCAAAAGCTGTAAGGCAACTGAGAAATCACTTTTCTCACATAGATTAGTCATACCATCTCTCAGGAAAAGTAATTTGGGTGAGGTATGAATATTTCCTCAATGGAATCCCCCTCAACCTAGAAGAAATTCTGAAACAGATGCATTTTGTGCTATGGTTCATCCCAGGGTGAGGCAGACAGCATTTTCTTCATACTATAAATGTGGTGGTTCTGTGAACACTTCTACCTGTCTTTGCCTTTCTTTCACCTGGAAGGAACTTACCGATGAGTTACAGATCTTTTCCCTGAGCTCGCTGCATTGTATAGAGAGAATGACAGGTTTTTCTATCAGGGATCTGCAGAACCAAGTTCATTTTTTCTTTTGAGACCCCAGCGTACTTCTGAAGCCTTTTCATAACCACTTTGAGCTATTTTTTTGTAGCATTTTGTAGGTTTCCAATTGGCTAGAGATAAAGGGATTCATCCTTCCTTTGTTATATATAAAGAAAGACTATAAAGTTAGATATTAAATTTTGCTATTTATTAGCTGGCTTAAATTCCATATTTTTTCTCCAAAAACTAATGATCCCAGCATGTACTGCAAAATTAAAGGTTTGAAAGTGCCATATCTGTCTTTCCACTATGCATAAGGACTTCCCTAAGTAGAACAGCCTGAAATGGAAATAAACCGACAAAACAAAGTATTCCATGTGTTTGCATGGATCTGAACGGCCTGAGCCTGAGGAAATTAACCCAAAACTCTCTTCTCCTAGATGAGCAGTCTAACTCTGAGCAATTACAGAAAATGCAGGTGGTGATAGGAAGCATGACTGCTGCAGTTCATGCTGAATTTCATCCTTTTTTCTTTGTCTTAAGAATGTATATCCTGCAAACTGGATATGAAGACTAAAAGTTTAGATGCCTATCTGCCTCAAGGCTGAGTTATAATGATGCTCAGACAAGAGCTAAGCACCTACTCCTCAAACTAATGTACATCCTCACCTATATTTAGATGCCTATGCAATATCATGGTCCAAGCTATAGGTGTCAGTGGCATCAACTCTCAAGAGAAGGCAACAGTATACAGTCACCCAGCAGAAAAATTCAAAAAGCCAAAGGTCACACTTCAGGAGCCAAATGGATCAGTCACTTGGCTCCTCAGTTTTCCATCTCTAAAATAGAAAAGAACAGCACTTCTCAATGTCCAAAAGGGGTGCTGGAAAATATCTTGGGTTTTCCTCTTTGGTACATTTTTCACTGTATATGGAAACTGATGATGGGATCTTATGACAGAGATTAAATTTCTTTGTAGAAAATGAGAAAGTCATCAAAATTATAATAATGGCAGTCACATTTGGATGATTTAATAAATTTCTTATTCATCTGTTGAGAAATTGTCAAGGAAAACACTTTAAATCTATTAAATATATTCTAAGTGCATATTCTCAAGCACATTGTGACTATCCTGAGAGATAAAGTTATTACCTCAAAAGGATAATTTGATCCTTCTGGATGGATAATGTACAGACCAGTTGGAGTTTTTGAAACTGAACCAACGGTATCTTTAATATCAGTGCAATCCAACCCTAGAGAACAAAGTATTCGATGAAGTTCATTAGCAAAATACGTTAAAAAAAACAAATACAGCTTAAGCACAGAATATTACTTTTGTTGGTAACATATGAATGATGTCAAATAGCATTTTCTTGTCATGCAAACTGTAAAATCATGTTTTGTCATGAACTTACCTTATAAATGAAAATTTTCTGAACTCCATTAAGCTCAGAAAGAAGCATAAATTGTATTGTACACAGAAAGTTCTTTCTAATCTTAACTGGTATGATACAGAAATTAAAAATTATGTATCTGGGTCTTATTTTACAGATTTTATTTGGCTAACACTTGTACTGAGTAAAAAGACATATTATCTGGGGAAGGATGTCTTTTTCCTGCAAACATTTGTATTTATACTGGTAAAAGCATTTCTATCATACTGTATACATTAAAAACCCTTTGCTTTTAAGTGTTAAGCCAGGTTTGTGTTAAACACACTCAAGCAAGCAGTTCTACGTCCAGTAGGACTGCTTAGAGGTAGTTTCCTTTAATTGGGATGGACACCATAAAGATTAACTGTCTAGTGTTCAAGTGACTTCCATCTCATTTGAAGAAGGATATTGCAAATGCCGAGCACACTTTATTGCATTACAGAAGAAAGTGCCATTTAGCAATATCAGACTGCTTATGAACAGGAGCCCAGAATTAACAGTTGCAAATGATTTAAAGCAGTCTTTATGATGACATTCTTAAACAGTTCACAAATTTTCCAGAGTTTATCTCTGCATACTAACACAGAATAAATACTGTAAATGTTATAATTGCTTATCTTTGCTTTAATTAGTTCTTTGTCAAGATACAAAGATAAAAAGAGAAGAGGTCAAGATTAAATGAGAAAAATATGTACCATGAGATTGAACTGCTTTGTAAGGAAGTGGATCCAAATGCTTTCTCAGAACTTCTGCGTTCAAAAGAAGAAGTCTGTTCATGAGTTCATTTACCTGCAAATTCAAATAAAAGATCTTTAAGCAGGTTGCAATGAGGAATTTTACATTCTAAAGTTGTTCTTTTTGACTCCTAGTGAATATAATCCAAAGTTAATTTTTATGATGTGTTAGTGTTTCATACCTTCATTATGTAAATTGGTCCAATTTTTTACTTTTTGCATACAAAATAATTTGTCGGCATAATTCCATTTAATTCAAGAAAAGTCCTTCATTTTAAAGCTTTTTATCTGTACTGAGTGCACAGTGTTTCTAAACTACTATCAGAGTTAATGATAATGTAATATGTAATCTACACAAATATGACAGGACTGCAGATAGGAACCAATGTGGAGGAGTGGTCCGTCACTTGCCCTACTGCCATGTATGCCACCAAGTTGTGGACCAGGTGGTGCTAATCACTCCTCGTAGAAATGGAACTCACACCTTACCCAGGCTACAAGGAATGATGATAGAGACTGTAATTCCACAGTTCTAATGGCAATATAAATGCTTAATTTTCCTCAGTTAGACAATACCCATAGTGCTAAATAATAAATAAAAATCTCTATGATGAAGAAAAAAGTACCTGATTAGAAAGGTAATCCAAAGAAGACTGTTGATCATCCATCATGTTTCTTACCAGTTTTTTTGTACTTCTTGCATATTCAACAAGTGAGTTCTGCAAATTTCCTTTAAAAGAAATATGTTCATCCACTTTGTTACCACAAACCTAGAAATATTCTTGGCTGAATAATGACACATTTATTTATGATACCTAAGTCAATATTGAAGGTGGTTAACCTTAGGGTAGCTAAAAGTGAAATTAAAGTACAGAGACCACAGATTAAATCCAAAGATGCTAAGAACCTCAGCCTCACTGGTTGCAGTGAAGACCTCTTAAGAAGAGATGGCTCTTAAGATTTGAAGAAGAATTTCGTCTTATCCTTGGGCAACTTGGATAACCAGTTAATGGATACCACAGAAATACAAATGTAAATGATAAAAGACAAAAACATGTTTCCTGTCATCCTACATTTACTCATTCACTCTGCTACTTACTCATGCTCCTGTTTTTTGCCTAAATATAGGCAAAAATACAAAAATTAAAGTTGTCAGGTAATTAATAATACATATTAAAAATCATATGGGAAGACAAGAATTTTGGCAATTTTTTCTGAGTCTGATTACATCATTTGCTGTGTAGTTTGTCAAGGCAGTGAATAGAGGATGTCCTGTATAGATATCTATAAAAGGCAAGCTGAAGTATAGATTTCCTCCCACTTAACTAACTCACTCCCACTTAACTAACTCCCACACACCTAACTGTGATGTTTAAATGAGGGAGAGACACCCTACTCTTCCTCTCTAACGGAGAGAGCTACCAACATTCACACAGACTTAGGTGGGCTGAGCTGCTGCCTGGATTTGCCTGTCCTCACCAGTGATTATGAAGAGAGACTAACATGATTATACTTTTAACTTTTGTCACACCAGGTGCACCCCAAAAACGCGGCATCCCAAATTTTCTGAACAATACTCAGCCTGGGCAGCAGTGTCAAAGGCTATCACATGTGCTTAAGAAGATTAAAATATAAATTAGCACAGCATAGCGTAGCATAGCAGAGGATTGCATAGCATGGTATTGCATAGCTTGTCGCTGAGAGTATTCTTTATGAATACATACTGCACATGTAATGTTTTTCCCCTCGTAAAATTTTAGCTTGAACATCACATGGTACAAGGCATTGTTCTTTTTGTTTTGAAATATCTGCAGATTTATTTTTCTCTTCTGCCTTGAGTGGTTCCTCCACAGCTCCAACATTCCTTGTGCCCTGTTGTACCAAACAATGGAGGGGGAAATAAATTGATCATAAAGCATATATAAAATAGCTCAGCCTGCCAAAATGAAGTAGATTACTCCATGGATCTTCCTTCAAAACCTGTGTTTTTAAAGCTTTATCAAGCAATAATTGACAGCACTGAGACCAAGGCCTGTTAGGTGTCTTCTGCTTAGCCATACCTCATGAGAGAGAGAGAGAGTCAAAGGTAAAGAATAACCTCTACAAATTTAAAAAAATACCACGAACATTTGTGGTGAAGTATTGTACTGTGAGCACTGTGAACTGGAGGCAAGAACTTGCAAACCTTGCATTGAAGAAGCTCAGATTTTACAAATCACCACACCCAACAGACACCTCAAATGCTAACAATGTTTATTTTCACTGGAAAGGAGCAGGCTTTTGGATTTACCACATATTAGCAAAACACTTTCACTCTTGAAAGTCCCTAAATTAATTATTTAGACTCTGATAATGGAAATACTTGTGCAAGTTATTAATCTATGCACACAAGCAGTCCCAAGCAGATTTGCAGACAAATCCAAAATTAAAAGAATATTTGAAATGCTCTTAGAGAGGAAAGAATAAAGGGATACTATTCACAGGCATACAATTATCTGAAATAATAACAATAAAAGCATCAGTAAAAGTAGTTACACCTATTAATGTTCTTTTAAAGTAATATTTTCGTATTTAATGTTTTTCCTTCCATGGTGCCATTTGGCATAAAATAAGGGAATGCCTCTGACTCATCACTTAAAGAAATGCTAACAGTAATTCCTGAAATATGTGTCATTGTAAAAAGACTAAGAAACATATTTTCATTTGAGTCTTTGTTTTTTAATTCCATAATCTCAGCAAAGCATTGTAGTATGTTCATATACTGTATTTTCACATATAAATTCTTATACTGTATTTTCACGTTTCTTTAGAAACGTAAAGATTTTAATGAAAAAGAAAACTTATTTGGACTTGAATATATCTTCAACATAATTGTTCTCCTTTCCTGCTTCAGGTTTCTCTTTCTGAAACTGGCACTACACTGGCAAAGCATTGAACATTTTTTTCCCCGATTTTTGCTTTTAAAAAGTGAAAGTAAAAATTACATAAAACTGTTAACAAGGAGATTTTACAAAAAGAAAAGGGTTCTGCATTATTAATGTAATTGCATTTTGTGTCTGGAGATAAATGCTAGAGAACTAAAAGAATATGTTTCTTTAATTTTGAAATAAGCACAAAATAAAGGAAGAAAAAATCTGTAAGAGTTATAAATAGATCACTTGAAACTCATAAACAGATCACTTGAAACTATGGTTTGTTTCAAGGCTTTATCACAGCTACTCACCAGATGTTCAATTAAATGCTGTCAAGCAAATATTTTTAATCAATATTTATTTTTAACAAAAGCCAACATGAAACAGGCAGTTAAATCTGACCTCAGCAATTCAAGCAAAAACTGTGACTCTGCCAAAACCAATAGTTACTCTGCATTTACAGTCATGCAGATGAGATTAAAAATATGGCCTAACAACTGAGCTGTGATGAAGGACATTAAAACAAAAATATTCTAATATACTGAATTCCTACAGTTTCGATGTAGTTTCTTTTCTTTATCTGAAAATACCTGATTCTTCTGTATTTTCGTATCTATCCTGAATAAAGCAATCTGCATCTTAAAAACATCTGTCACTTCCCTGAGAAATCATTCAGCTACATTCATTATCTTATCTAAGCAAAGTAATTGCAAATCTTACCTTAGATGAACAAGGCTTGACATTACTTATGACAGTCTCTCCTAAACTGAACAAAAAAATGTTAAGACAAATCAGTGAAGTTACCCTAAAGCAGTTCATCTTTTACTTGAAGAAATGCAAACGTTTTGTCGGGTTTCAAATTTCTGTGGAAAGGATTGTACGCTATGAAGTCCTGAGCTAACTATTTGGGAATGTCTACAGCACAAAGAGCAGCCAACACATCACTCCTTTAATGCCTGGATTTAATAAACCACATTTCAATTGCACAGTAGATTTTATATACTACTGCTTGTACCCTGAGAGCAATTACTGCTTATCACCCTTACATGATGCATCAAACATATATATTTTTATTGTGATAAAACTGTGGCAGATTTTCTTATATGCTCTTTTTGAGCATTGGTATATATTTGGTATTGAGTAGTCTGGGCTACTTGAAAAAAAAACAAGTATTAATTGATGTTTTCATCTTTTTACAAAGGTTAATCATTAAAATGAAGGCATTTACATTGGTGTGGTGGTAGTGAACTACAACTGGCTGTGGAGGCAGTTTTAGAATATGTCCTAAAAGCAAATTCTAAATAGAAAACTGAAAACTATTACTTTAAAGTAATACTTTGTGTTACATTGAAAATTGCTTACCGGGAGGACAATAGCAGTCTCTTGGTCTCACTGGTAGCCCAGCCTTAGGAACAGAACTATTGAGAGTGGGATAATCATTCAAATATGATGATTTTTACCCCTGAAAAATGTCAAACTACAAGAGAATGTCCAGAAAAAGAAGATTAAATGCAGTCCACAGAAACTTAATTAAAGGTCTTTAGCAGGCATTTACAGTTTTCACACACTCAGATGCACTATTTTTTGTATCTTAAAAACTGGATCTGACATTTTAACCAAAAAGCAAATTATTTGGAAAGTTTATTTGGAAGGTTCATAAAGGTCCAACAGATTTTCAACTCCTCATGCACATTAGAGAATTTAAATTGTTTGTGATTTGGCTGAATAAACGCACCCTCAGTTTCTAACGTACCACTGGGAGACACACTGGCTAAAGGATCGTCAGAACACACTGTTCAACATCACCGCACACTGGCACAGCCAGACAGTGCTCCAAACTTGTCTCCATCCTGTGGTTCATCTCCATCCCTGCCTGAAGTTGGAATACACTGGGAATAGCTTTTGCTGCAAGGAGATTTGAAAGCAGTTGGGAGAGGGGGGTTAATACAGCTTTAAATCCAGATTTTAATCCATTTTTTTAATCCAATGTTTTCTTTCAAAATTAATAGCTGAAGGGCACTAAGAACCTGTACCTGGCCTCTTCCTGAGAGGGCACATTCAAGTGCCTGTGAGATTTTTAACAACGTTGGTTCTTCAATATCTTTCAAAATAAAATGTTTAATTTTTTCTGAAGTACTGCATGACACATGATAGTTTTCCAAGATAAGAGCTACTAGAATTTAACTAGTGCATCAGTTGATGCTCTCTTAAAAAGATGCCAGTTGTGATCCATAGTACAGTCTCAGGGAGGTAAGAAGGTTGAAAAGATTTTCATAGCTATCCCTATATGACCTCAAGGGCGAATGAACAGTTTTTTATTCCTCTTCCTATGCACAGAAATAGGAAGAGGAGACAAATTTCAGGAAGGAATGGTTAAAATGGTCAGAACCTTGGCTGAACTCCTTCTCCCGTGCAGTCGCCTACACAGTTAAAGCGAAGCTTGGAGGAAAGCTAAAGGGCATTAGCAGATTAATCCCCCCTGGAACAAGACGGAAAGAAAAATGTGTTTCTGCAGCAGCATAGCTATGCTCCAGCCTTCAAATAAGATTTGCAATAAATTCAGAATCTCTCTCGCAAAGATTTAAGAGCTGATCTTTACCCTTCACTGGAATATCAGTCTCTAGCCCGCAGTAAAATTTATGAAACTTCTTCCAAACCAGCTGCCAGAGCGGGACCTTCCATTCTGTAACCACCTGACATCAGGCTGCTCGCTGTAATCCTACAGTTCGGAAATACATGGTCCTCAGCTAGTCACCTTCCCATCCCACGGTCTGCAAGGTGTGAGGTTACTTACCAGGAGGAATTATCTAATAAAGGAGGGCTATGAAGAAGTAAGAAAAAGGAAAAGGTAAAAAAAAGGAAAGACAGGAAAATACATAAAGACTGTTTGTAATTCTAAATTTCGGAAGGTATCTAAGGTGAAGCTGCGAGTTGCACTGGATAAGATTAAAATTTGCAGTAAGCCTAAAGAAGCTGAAATCCTGCCAGTGTGAGCTGACCGTGAACTTCAATCTTCCCAGGAGTGACATGGGCTCAAGTTCTGCAGTTGTTTCCCAGCTCTGCTTCAGTCCCGCTTGGGTGACGCAGTTCTGCACACTGATAAAGCTTTCTACTGCATCCTAAACGAAACACTGCATTTTATCAGGCAAACTGGGATTTTAAAGGTGTATGTGGGCGGAAAAGCACATGGCAGTAAAGTGACAACCAGTCTTCTTCCTGCAACACAGAAGAGTTCATACTGGGCAAAGAGGTGCTGGCTTTGGGGCTGGTATTCTGAACTAGAGGTGAAGGACTTCCATTGTAGGGTCATCTTCTCAACTGTGGCAACTGGGATATAAATGTCAAGCACATTTGGCGACGAGCATCAGTGGTCTTGACTGTAAAGTGGTAATAGTAACACCTACTTCACAAGCTGTGCTGCAAGTATGTGGGGGGTTCTGCGGGGAAAAGTATTTTATGAAT